ATGTAAAATATATTTCACGACTACTACTGCATATCACCGTGAGTATTGCGTTTTTCACCGAGTTTTGCATTACTTCATGTAAAACTGGTTTTTGTGAAACTCCCGTGATATGGAAAACACTAGTGAAAAATATATTTTACATTTTGTCGTGCAGAAAACGCCTGTGAGCAGTGAATAACGCGTAAAACACGTTATGTGTTTTACGTGAAATTGGGCGATGCGTCCGATGTGATTCGCCAAGTATTTTCTATTCACTTCATATCGCGTTTTACGCCACTTCACGTAAAACGGGTTGTGAAACTTCAGTGGGTTCGCAGTGTGGGGGAAATATATGTTCGCTTTTTAGGAGTTTGTATATGAACTCGGGTAGAAGTGTACAGAAACCAATGAGAATTTCTCACAATTTTCATATTGTCATCATCACCGACACATGTAGTTGACCATGTGCATATTTTCCCACCACATTTTATGTTGGTGAATTTCAAAAACCGATGCATGTTTTCAGATCAATCTATCGTATAACGGAATATGCGACTGGGGCTTCCAGCGGTTAGCGATACTGTTATCAGAGAATATAATGCAAAACGTGGTAAGAATATATATATTGGAGTTTCACAACAACCCGTTTTACGTGAAGTGGTGTAAAACTCGGTGAAAAACGCGATATTCGCGCTATACAGTAGTCGTGAAATACGTTTTTTCACTGGTGTTTTTCATATCACTAGGGTGAATCTCCATTGCTGGAGGAATATATGTTCGCTTTCCTCAGCTGAGCTCAGCAATTCATCAAAGTTTCACAACCCGTTTTACGTAAAGTGGCGTAATACTCTGTGAAAAACGCGATATTCGCGGTGATATGCAGTATTAGTCGTGAAATATATTTTTCACTAGTGTTTTTCATACCACTAGGGTGGCGAAACTCCAAATCGGGTAGAAACATATGGAAACCAACGAGAATTTCTCAAAATTTCCTCAAAATTTTCATATTATCATCAACACATGTGAATGTTTTCCCCCACACCCGGTGAGTGACGAAGGGTCGTTGATGGTGTTTCTCGTTTAGGAAGTTGATATTAGTCAAAATCGAGTTTCGAATCCTGGGGAAATCTTGGAGAAGTATATGTCGGCTCATCCGGAGGTAACCACTACAGTATTTCGATTTCATTTATTTTCTCCGGAAAAAATTATTTTTCCCCCTTCCTCGTCAAAAATTCATCCATGGTTTTCATAAAAATGGGGTTTTTAATATTCGATCGAATTGAAAGTTTAGGAGTTCAATTTAACAAAAAATTTCGCGCACATATGAAAAATATATTTCACGACTACTGCATATCACCGCGAATTTCGCGTTTTACGCCGCTTCGCGTAAAACGGGTTGTGAAACTCCAATGATCACGTAGGCGTAATACCACTACTGCGATGCTTTTTTCTTGTTCAGAATCCAGCAGTGAGAGACCTTCCGCGAAGACTGGTGTTTTCTTGAATTCGAGTGCTGTTTCTAGTAAAGTCTCAGGAGTTTAGTTATCATTTTGAGGATTGCAACGTTAGTAATTGTATTGGAATTTCACCCTAGTGATATGAAAAACAGTAGTGGAAAATATATTCCACGACTACTGCATATCACCGCGAATATCGCGCTTTTCGCAGAGTATTACGCCACTTCACGTAAAACGGGTTGTTGTGAAACTCCAGTGTTATCATAAACGAGTTGTGTATAAAAATAGTAGAAAAACGACTACACCAGTTGTGTATCAAAACAAGCTCTTGTGACGTAACAGGAGCTTAGTATTGCAGGTCTATGTTTATACTATAATTAGTTATAATATTCACTGCATATTAGTATTAGGATATATAAATATAAGTATGTTTTAATATTGGAGTTTCACCCGTTTTATGTAAACTGGTGTAAAACTCCGTGAAAACGCGATATTCATACTGCGCAGTAATCGTGAAATATGTTTTTCACTAGCGTTTTTCATATCGTGGGTGAAACTCCATTCATTGTTAGGGTTAGATAACTCCACAAGAGTTATTAACAAGTGATTCTTAACGTATGATCGATACAGTAGTCATAAAATATACGCTAGGCAAGCAAGGGAGACATGTATAACAAGAATCTGAAATTACAGGAGAAACTTGTGTACAACATTTCCTAACAAATATCCTAATACTAATATACAGTAAATGATGTAATTCATTAAATAGAGCTTATCCCGACTGATAGGCTTCGATAAAGAGTGTGGCAGAGCAAAAGTACTCCTCATCCTAGTAACAACAATAGCATTTCTGGAGAAGCAAAATTGCAACATAATATATGAAGTTGCAATATCTGTAGATATTGTAAACAATTGTGTTACTACCTACCTATCGATCAATTGT